ACTGTAACCTTTCAGAAGTCTCAGTGTCTGAAGCCACAAAGGGAAACGTGGCTCTGTAGCGGAGGCAAGGAGCCCTGGTGGCAAAGTGATTACCAGTTGGGCTCCTGACTCCAAGCCAGCGATTTAAAACCACCAGCCGCTCCTTGGGGGAGAAGCGTGGGCTTTCTACTCCCGTCAGCAGTCAGCTTCAAGCTAGGTCCATAGGAATCCCAGGAAGCAGGCTGGGGTGGGGGCAGCAGACTCTCTGGGGGGCCTCTGTGCTCTCTCTTTGCGTAATTGGCGGCTCAGAGCTTTGCTTCTAGGCAGGCAGGTGGAGGTGTTTTCTGTCTTTGCATTTATTTTGTTTCTGGTGGCCGAGGCCCCGGCAGAGATGACGGGTGGAGAGAGGAGAGTGGGGCCCCCAGAGGAAGAGATGTTGCTCCTGGAGTGGTGTGATCCCAGGCGAGGGGGCGAGAGGCAGAGCGAACGGAGCTGTTTTCTTGAGGCTCCCAGCTCTGGGACCAGCCCAGGGCTTGGGACTGAGCTGGGGGGCAGGGCACCCACTTGGAGAGCTGGTGGCTGTGGCAGCAACGGTTGGCAACAAGCGTTGGCATAAGGAATTGTTCTCCCCTAGGGGACGGTGGCTTCAGGGTGTCTCCCTTCCTAAGGAGTACCAGAAACCTGATGCGGGTGGGCCCGCTTGGCACGCGTGAGTAGTGTGCACATGGGCGCATGCGTACAATGGGAGTGACCATCTGCAAGAGAGAGAGGCGGGAGGTCAGCTAGATGGCATTTCAGCAGAGCCTGGAAAGGGCAGGGCGAGAAGGCAAGGAAGGTCATTCCAGGCCGGAGGCCCAGCAAGCCCCTTCTGCACCGGTCAACTCAGATTCACAGCAATGCCCATGGATGGAGGAGAACCGCCCACCAGGCTTCCAGGCTGCAGATCTTTCTGGAAGCAGACTGCCACAGAGCAGCTAGGTGGGGGCGGGGGTCCCAGCCACCTACCTGTTGGTTTTCGGCCGAGTGCTTAACCCCTGCACCACCAGGGCTCCTTGTAGAAGAAACAGCCCTGCAAAGGCATGCGTGGTCCCCAGTGTGTGCTGGGCCTGGCAGGGCCATCTGCCCCGGTGGGTGGTGCCCAGGATGAGAAGAAGCGGGAGAAGTCACAATACGAGGGACTGGCGGGTGGCTCATGCTTGGACCGTCCATGCCAGCCTCAGAAGTCTGGGCTTCATCTCGGGAGCAGGGGAGCTGCCAGTGGCTTTTAAGCTAAGTGATGTGGCCACACATGCGTTTCAGAGGCTAGGGCTCTGTATGGGGAGGGTGGCTCAGAGGATGGATTAGAGGGTGGACAGTCTGGAGCTAAAAGCAGTGGGCAAGGCCCCTCCCCGCTTTCTACGTTCATTTCCCTCTAGCCCTGTCCTGACCCCTAGTCCCAAGAAAGAGCCATCACACGGGAGGCCAAGACAGAGCCAAGAGCTTGTCACTTGTCAGAAGCAGAGTCTGGCTCCTGGCTGGTGCGGCAGGCCGGAATCCCTGCCCCCCCTTCCCGCTCCTGCTGGGGCCAGGGCTCGGGCTGGCTGGGCAGCTGGCAGCCTGGCAGGGAGAACCTTGTCTGCTCTGTGGTGTCTGCAGTCACTGCCGCTGCTGGGCAAGCTGATTAATGACCCGCGAAGTCCAGGACGCCTCACCGGTCAGCAGCCCCATCCCTGCAGCCGTGGGCAAGGACCCTGCTGGCTCTGCCCCCTGCCCTCCAGTGGCCGGCCCTGCTGGGGGGCTTCAGCTCCATCCTGCCAGGAAATGTGGATACCCAACTCCCACCCGTTTTCCCACCCTTTGCCAACCATTCCCTGGGCCCTGAAATCCTGGCCCCAGATGCTGGAGCCTTTCCAGAAGGAAGCCAGGAGAAAGTGGAGGCGTCCTACTCCCCTAAGTAGCCACGGCCTCAGACACCCACAGAGATAGGTCTGCTCTGTCCTACGGGATCGCTGCATGTTGGAATGGGCTCGGTGGCCGTGAGAGGGCCCTGGGGCACAGCCAGAGGCCAGGTAGTGAGCGGTCTGGGGCCGAAAGGGCCTGGACACGGGGCACAGCCCAGCCCCTCCAGGAGGGGTGACTGTGGTGCCCAGCAGTCTGCGTGAGCTGGGCAGCAGGGTGGTTCCTGGCCAGCCGACCAGCTGCTCACGCCTCCCGTGGGCTGGCTCTGTCTTGGCTGATGCTGACAGGAGGACAACCACAGCTACTATGTGTCCCGCCTGTTCGGCCCTGGTGAGCCCCGCAGCCGGGAGCTGTGGATGGACGTGGTCGCGGCCAACCAGAGCCAAGTGACGGTGCACAGAATCCTCTCCAGCACCCACCGGCAGGCTTCGGTGAGTGCCCGGTCCCAGCAGCGCCACCCTGGTCTGGGAGTCTGGGAGGTGGGGTCCAGCCCTGCTCAGTGGGCACACCTACAGGGAGTGTCGGACTAGAGCTGGCTTGTCCACCTGTGTTCCTGGGAGGGGGGAGGCTGTCCCTCGCCCTGTCTGGACAAGAGTGAGGCAGTGTGGGTCCCCAAGCCCCTCGGCCTGTGACTCAGCCCATGCTGACTCTTTCCTGTCCCCTGCAGAGAGTGGTCTTGTCCTTCGACTTCCCTTTCTACGGACATCCTCTGCGCCAGGTCACCATAGCAACTGGAGGTAAGGCTGTGTCAACGGGGCAATCTCAGCCAGAACCTGGAGCCTTCTTAGGTGGGGGCTGTATGGACAGACTTGGGGAGAGACCATGTTTGGCTCTCTTGGGAACCTTACATTCTGGGGCAGGGGGCCAGTGAATGCCTCAGGCCACCCTCTTCTATCAGCTGACTTGCTCTTCTGGGAGAAAGATTAGAGATAGCTAGTGAGGAACCCTGCTGGCCTGATGGTGAAACGCTTGGCTGCTAACCACAAGAATGGTGGTTCAAACCTACCCACCTCGACACAGGGGGGAAGACGTGGTCATCAGCTCCCCTGGGACCCGCTCTGCCCCAGAGGCTCCCCATGAGCTCACCCTGATTCGATAGCACCCAACAGCGAACTGATGCAGACATATTAGGGGCACGTGTATCTCTCTCTGGGAGCCCTGAGAGCCGAGTGGTTATGATTGGGCTGCAATCTACAAGGTCCTCAGTTTGAAACCAGCCTGCTCCACCGGTGAAAGATGGAGCATTCTATTCCCATAAGCAATTAGAGTCTCAGAAACCCACAGGGGCAGTTCAACCCTATGCTGCAGTGTCGCTACGAGTTGGCATCCA